TACAACCCCTGGTGAAGCTGTTACACTCCTTACCAGCCATACCTATAAAGATTCTTCACCAACCAGCATTACACAAGAAGAAGAAGAAAACAGAGTGAATGTTTTAACTTTGTGATTGTTTATACTCATCCACTCTATTTTTACTCAATTGTAACTTCTAATTTTTTGTATCTTACCGATAAAACATTAAATGTCACATGCTTGTAGGAGCGGACAAGGAGGAACAAATCAAAATCTTACATTTGTTAGCCTTTATTTACTTACATTTCCAAATTCTGCCACCTATACATACATTTTGATTGACAGTTATCTTACCCCATAAAATGCATTGTTAGATGCACAGAAACAGCTTATGTGCTGAAAAGGATCGAAGTTGCAACGACAATGTGCAAATAGGTATATTTTCTTATTTGTCAAAATGTTCAACAGTAAGTTAAAAAAATTCTTTATGATTTTAGTATTATTTTGCTGTTCAGGCATTATGGTGTTGAAGTATAATGTATTCTTTATTTTGTAACTTTGAAACTACAAAGTTATAATTTTTTTCTGATTTTATGTAATACACAAACTAAATTATGTTGTTAAAAATTTAACTTTTTTTGATATTTTTCATAAAATTCAAATTTTAAATTATGGTTTGCATTTGAGCATATAAAATCCATTTCCCAAAACCATGATTTCCTTGCAGGACTCTGCATATTTTTTTAGCTCCACCCATCTTCTTTTCCATTTTGCTGAGCTTACCTTGCCAACTCATAAACTTTGCAGCTATATTTATCAACTTTTCCCACCATTGGCTGACTATGTAAAGAATAATAGCAAAATACTGACTGACATTTTTAATACTGTTGGTGTCTTTGACTACGCATGAAAGCACAAATCTTTCTGCTGAGCAACGAGTGCTGCAATGAGCCCCTCCCACTTCCCAAGCACTGACAGGTCGTCATAGTTGCCCCATGCGGCTGCAGCAAATCCCGCCTGCAGTCAGAGCAGAGAGGAGACCAACTCCTCTCCGTGTGTCACATTACAAATGAATCACTTTTGCACAAAGCTGGCACTGGTACTGCCCTGGGTAACAAAGATTTAAATAAAAAACAAACACGAATCCCTGAATTTGCCTTAAGAGGATTTTATGAGGTGATTTTAATGGGTTACTCTGGATTTTGTTGAGAGAAAACAGAAAGAAGGGGGGCTAATGGACAAATGGACAACTTTTATATTACTTTATTTATACAAAATCCAGCTTTAAATTAACCCACTTCTTAGCCATGATTATCTGTTGAGTAAAATCCCAACAAATGTTATTTAGGTCTGGGGCTGAAATGGGACAATATGTCATGTTGGTTGGTCACAAAGTAGGAAAAAAAATTCAAGGGCAACAAATAAAAAAGGACGAGAACAAACATTAAAGGGGTCATATAATGATTCTATAGAGTATTTGGTGCTGGTCCTTAAGGTCTCTGATTAGGGTGTGTAACATTGGTTGGGCTGAAAATGGCATATTTGCTGTTCTCTGAGCCCTAATGCAGCCTGGTTAAAAGCCCTAGAATGAAACCACAGCTTTTCTTCCTTTTATGGTTTGATCATGAATATTTAGATGAGCTGTGTGCTGATTGGTTGGTTTAGAACGAGTGAAGCTGCAGAGAAAAGATGCATCATAGCAACAAGTACTCACTCACTGAAACATCAAATTTGTTGATTATGGTAGGGTGACTTTGAATTGAGAAAGCTTCCTGGAGGGGAAGCGAAACGTCTTCAGACCTTGGAAACCAAGTCCAGTGGTTTGTTTTATAAACTTTTATGGAAGAGGGTGACCAGACATCCTCCTTTTCCTGGACATGTCAAGGGGACATGTTCACTGACTCCCTGCCCCCGTCCGCCGGGGACAGGAAGCCAGCGGGGGACGGAGCGACCGAACCCGACCCGTTGACAGTAGCCTGGACATCGGTGGCCCCGTGCTTCCCCCCACCTGCCCCAGCCCCCCTCCTCCAGCTGAGGACGGGCGGCTCATGACTTTTTGCTGAGGTCCGGTCCAGTCAGTGACCCAGCAGTCGACACTGCATAGCCCCCTGTCCCTTGGGCCAGAGAAGCAGTAGGCTGGTCTGTATGTCAATTTCTGGGGGTTACAAAAAGTACAGGCCAGAACCATATAAGGCAACATCCTCGAATTGACGTCAATTCGGGGCTTCGTTTGAATTCGCCCGTTTTATGGTGTAAGTTTAGAATTGTGAGAATGGCAGAGAAAGGAGTTGATGGGGTTTGAACTTCTCTCTATGTCCATTTCACCCATTTCATAGTTCCATCTGCCATCTATGACAACGTAAACTTGGTTTGGCATTCTATGACCCCTTTAATGTACAAGTTAATGCTGCCTGCATATATCCTGCAGGGACACACATAAAAACACAAGACAAATAGCTTAATGTGTGATGTTTTCATCATAAAGTTCATTATTTTAAGTAAAATTAAGTTTCCCACGATTCCTGACAAAAAATTTAAAATCTATTACAATCACAGTTTTTTTATATGGTGAGTGCAATAAAAATGGGTTTTATAGAAAATATGGAGAAATGCTGTGAAAATATTTGTTATTAAACTTTTTCCTGAAATATTCCTATTTACCCAACATTGTCGCACCTTTTATAAACTACAGCACAACATTTACACTTGCTTAATACACAGCTAGACAGAAGCTCATTTCTTGTCGGACAAAGGTTAGATTTTAAAATGATGAACCAATCATTGCGTCGTCACCACCGATGCAGAATGCCTTTGCATTACATTTAAAATTTATTCTTGCTGTAAAACACTACCCTTGAAATTATACAGTGCTTTTTAAACAGTAATAGGCCACAACAACTACTCATTCAGATTGCCACTGCTTCAGTTTTTTTAATATTGCCTAGCAACAAGTGCTGCTTTCACCCACTTTTTGTACCAATATTATCAATAAAACCTGATCAAACAAAGCTCAATATGAGTAACATTGATAGCTAATTTAAATCCAAGCACCTGTACAAAAAGTTTAAAAATGGTGTGATATTTTAGATCACCTAAATTTTACAATTTATTAGAGATAAGATTATATTTTCAACATGAAATGTTGTGTATTTTGTTATTGTCAAAACAGCTTAGTGGTTTACCAGAACAGCTTCATATGGACATAAATATTAGAGATATAAATAATATGAGTAACATACAATTGGAAATATTTTGTTCCCCCAAGTTTATCCCTTTCAAGGAGACTTAAAACCTTTCTAGGTATGTCAGTAGGTTGTGTTTCTCTGTAAATAGCTCCTTCATAGATCTTACACATTTTTTTTATTTTTGTTTGTTTAGCAAATCACAATTTTTAATGTGTATGTTTCCCTTCACAATGATTTCATACTAAAAGATAATATGTTCGCTAAATTAGCTTCCTAGTTGTCAATACATTTTACACCCATAGAAAAATATTGTAAAGCAGGAAAACATTGTAAATATTCACTTAGTGAGTTCTGAGTGAGTGATAAAAAAACAGATTGAATATCCTAGACATAGCTTTGATATTAGCTGTGTATGTTTGGTCTTATATATCGTTACAATTCAATGCATATTAGGTGGTTATTGGGTGGATTAAAATATATTGTGATGGAGAAAGGCAGAAATTTGCAGGAACTCCTGTTGGAACTAATTGTCGCTGACAACATTTTACAAAAAGTAGCTACAAATCTAGGAAATTTACATAAAAAGGAGGATGGCTGGAACTTTTAGTTGAAATATAAAAGACATCTCTTATTTGTAAATCAAATCCAAAACACATAAAAAGAAACACATTAAAATGTTATTGCATCATTTTCTTTTTATTATGCAAAGACAACTTTTACATATAAGCTAACAAAAAAAAAATAAAATAAAAAATCAATCAATAAATCCAGAGCATGAATTAAGATAAAAATAGGGATTGTTGTGCTGGGCAGCAAAACTTTTCACAAAGTTACAATACAAACCGATGTTCCAGTTTGATAGGCTGGATTCCCTGACTCTCTTCCTTCCTGTTCTCCTTCATTAGCTTTCTATACATTGTCTTCTTTCTCTCTCCTTGTCTCTTAAATCTTCATCTTCACCCCTTATGCTAGGGTAATTTTCATCATCTTCTAGGACTGTAAAACGCAAGAATTTGGTAATAAATTCTGTGTCATGAAAAGTGTGACAATGCAATTTATCCCTGTTTATCCCAATACATTTTCCAAGACGGTACAATGCAATTTTAGATATTCTTGTTGCTCTTCTACCGCTGGTGCAGTGCACCTGAATCCACAGCAGGAGGCAGTACCCCTTCTCTCCTCCCTCAAACAATTCTTTTGGATGTCTACTCAAAAAGTGTCGTTGTTTACCAAACCCTTATCTCACTTGACTTAAGATAGAGCTTGGAGTCGATGGGCAGGTGGATGGGAAAGGAGGCTGTGATTACTTGACCTAGCACCTCCCCCCCTTCCCTCGTCTCCTGGCTCATCCATCTGCTGGAATATAAGACCTGTTCAAGTTCACTGTCAAACAATTTTTTTTCCTCCAAGCTAAAATGTCAACCAGCAAGTCAGGGATTTGTGTAGGTAGGCTTTGATTTGGGAGATAAAATCATAATGTTCTCAGGTGAGAAAAACGGTTCATGCGGGTGACTGGCTGTGGTTAGATTGGTTGTGCAGCTATCAAAGCTGCTAAAGTCAAGCAGCTACACTAATGAATCTGCCTATGCGATGAAGTTTCTCTGTTACTGTTAAGTTTATTCTACCATCGAGGGTCTGACAGCTAACATGGTCCTAAGAACTACTGCAAATTATTAAAAAACCTCTACAGACTTTTCTTTATCTTTGCCTTAAAATCGGTTAATTTCAGTTGGCTTGTAAGATGTCAATATACACTGTTAATGTCATCAGATTATATAAACTTAGACAAAGAATTTGAACATACAATCTTTTTTAAGCTGGTTTTACATCTTTTGTACTCTGACTCCTTCGCAGGCTGCCAAGCTTCCTATGTCCATCATCATTGTAGGAGTGGGTCAAGCTGAGTTTGACGGTAAAATTACTTCAGTTTTTATAATAAAAAACATACAGCACAGCAAAGATTTCAAACAGTTTGGACTTCTAGACACAACCAGAAACTTTAATGTTTTTTGTTAGGATTGTTGGTCAGATTGAGATAAAGTAGTGCGTAACTGTGAGTGGAAGAAAGGAACAATTCCCACAGCATGATACGGCCGTTACAGTAACATGGTTGGGAATTGATGTGCAGTGTTAAGGTTTTGCCACTCATGGGATGCTCCAGAGCACTTCCTTCCATGTGTTTACATGCCGCTGGGTAAAATGAAAGCATAGTTTTTCTAATAGCTGTGTTTAATTTGTGGACTTGTTTTTGAAACTTTGTTATATCATATAAACCCGATTTGTTTTTTCACGTGAGCTTTGGATCTCTACGGCTGTTCCAGAGTTACCATAAGTTTGAGGCATGCCACTTATTGAGTAATGTTTTATTTTATATATATATATATATATATATATATATATATATATATATCTGTGGCGCATTTAATTTGTATATAATGCTAAAATATACTTTATTCATTTAGAAAGCATAAATGAATAAATACGTGTGTATTTCATATCTGTTTTTTCGTCAGTGATTCATTTAGAAAACAGAAAACAGTTAATTTTCCTTTTGCCAGTGTCAGTGTAAACTGACCCTGAACAGCCTATCAGCCTATACCAACCCTCAGAGAACTCTGGTCATCCCTATGTAATTTTCTGTCTCTATTCCCTTAAGTTTAGTTTCTTACTTATTTATTATGTTCTGTTCTAGTTTTTACTGTATATTTTATTATTTATAGGTCAGTATTAGTTTATCCCGCTTGTCTTGTAGTTTTCTTTGGGTCTATTTGAGTTCTGTTTGTGTTTAAATACCTCAGCCCCCCTGCTCAGCACTTTCCTCTCCCAGCTATTCAATAGTCCCTGATTAATTCACACACATCTAATGTATTTCTCAACTCCTATCCCAGTAAAAAAACTATTTCATGTTTTTTTTTTGTAGCTGTTCTGATTATTCTGTTTCCCTTGTTCTGATGCTGAAGGTTTGCTGTGTTATGATTATACAACATTCACAGTTGCATTTTGATCTTACTCACAACATGCAAAACATGATAGTGAGAAAAGTTTAAAAAAATGCACATTCAGAAAAGTATTAACACAAGTTGTATTAATAAGCTATTAACATAAAAAAAAAAATAAAGTTTGTGAAATGAGCAGATATTGCGTTTGACAGGTCTTTCTGGGGCCAGAGATGTTTCAGAAGTTTAGCTTTGCAGCTTAGATGTGTGGGCTGCATGGATGTCTCAAGAGAAAGAAGAAAGGATAAGAAGCAGGACTTTTCCCCTCTCAGCCTTCTTTTATCTAACACTGACTCTCTGTCACAGAGCAGCTCTGCTCTCACTTTGTTAAAGGTTGTGGAGGTGAAATATTTAAGAGTCCGCAAAAAATATAAAGTAACACCCAAGTGTCTTTGAAATACTTCAGTGTTACTTCTAGAGCTGCATTTGACGGAACAGAATTACTTGCATATGAGGCTGTATGTTATTTTTCATAAGAATAATTTTGCTCAGAATCACTTGAAATGATCAAAAGATACAGTAGCAGCCATTCAAAATGGCCGTCCCCAGTCAAAACCCAGCTGAATCGCAGCAATATCCCCTTCAACTTCCAGCTACTGTCCTTCTTCTGGGCGTGCATATTTTTTGACTCAACCCTTTCACTGAATTACAGGGTCTGACCATGATATGACGCTTCTCTTTGGATCTTAATGTCCAAAAATGATGATAGAATGAATATTTTTATTACTATGTTTAAAATTATTAATATGTTTAAAAAGGAATTGTAGGGGCCCTGCCAAGGGCCCATCAAGGAAAGTAGGGAAATTTTAAACGGGTTCTACTGTCTATTTAGATATATATATATCTAAATCTATATATCTATATATCTATATATCTATATATCTATATATC